AGGGAGGGCCCAAGTAGCTTCTCCTGCCCCCAACTGCAACCCCCCCCCCCGAAACTGTCAGCCCCCCCCCAAAACTGTCAGCCCCCCCGAAACTGTCAGCCCCCCCCAAAAAACTGTCAGCCCCCCCCGAAACTGTCAGCCCCCCCCCCAAAACTGTCAGCCCCCCAAAACTGTCAGCCCCCCGAAACTGTCAGCCCCCCCCAAAACTGTCAGCCCCCCTGAAACTGTCAGCCCACACCCCAAAACTGTCAGCTCCCCGAAACTGTCGTCCCCCAAACTGTCTCCCCTCCCCAAAACGGATTCCCACCCTGAAACTGTGTCCCCCCGAAGCTGTTCCCCCCTAAAAACTATACCCCCACTGCACCCGCACACAGCAGAGGGGACAATAACAATTTCAGGATTCATACATTTAAACATAAATTTCTTCCACATCTTCTCCCATCGCTCATTTTTCCCTTCACAGTGGCCGCGAGGGGAGTGCAGCGGGACCTGGGGGGGGGGGGGGAGTGCAGCGGGACCTGGGGGGGGGGAGTGCAGCGGGACCTGGGGGGGGGGGGGGGAGTGCAGCGGGACCTGGGGGGGGGGGGGAGGGGAGTGCAGCGGGACCTGGGGGGGGGGGGGGGAGTGCAGCGGGACCTGGGGGTGGGGGGGGGGGGAGTGCAGCGGGACCTGGGGGGGGGGAGTGCAGCGGGTCCTGGGGTGGGGGGGGGGGGAGTGCAGCGGGACCTGGGGGGGGGGGGGGGGAGTGCAGCGCATGGAGCCGACACCAGCCACTCGGCAAACAGTTCCACACACCCAACACACACACACTCCCCCAACACACACACACTCCCCCAACACACACACACTCCCCCAACGCACACACACTCCCCAACACACACACACTCCCCAACGCACACACACTCCCCCAACGCACACACACTCCCCACACACACACACTCCCCCAACGCACACACACTCCCCAACGCACACACACTCCCCAACGCACACACACTCCCCCAACGCACACACACTCCCCCAACGCACACACACTCCCCCAACGCACACACACTCCCCCAACGCACACACACTCCCCCAACACACACACTCAACACACACACACTCCCCCAACACACACACACTCCCCCAACACACACACACTCCCCCAACGCACACACACTCCCCAGCACACTCACACACACTCCCCCACACACACACACACTCCCCCAGTGCCCCCACACACACACCCCCAACACACACACACTCCCCCAGCACACACTCACTCCCCCAACACACACTCACTCCCCCAGCGCACACACACTCCCCCAACACACACACACTCCCCCAGCACACACTCAATCCCCCAGCACACACTCACTCCCCCAGCACACACTCACACACACTCCCCCAACACACACACACTCCCCCAGCACACACTCACTCCCCCAGCACACACTCACTCCCCCAGCACACACTCACACACACACTCCCCCAACACACACACACTCCCCCAGCACACACTCACTCCCCCAACACACACTCACTCCTCCAGCGCACACACATTCCCCCAACACACACACACTCCCCCAGCACACACTCAATCCCCCAGCACACACTCACTCCCCCAGCACACACTCACACACACACTCCCCCAACACACACACACTCCCCCAGCACACACTCACTCCCCAGCACACACTCACTCCCCCAGCACACACTCACACACACTCCCCCAACACACACACACTCCCCCAGCACACACTCACTCCTCCAGCACACACTCACTCCCCAGCACACACTCACTCCCCCAGCACACACTCACTCCCCCAGCACACACTCACTCTCCCAGCACACACTCCCCCAACACTCACACACACTCACTCCCCCAGCACACACTCACACACACACTCCCCCAACACACACACACACTCCCCCAGCACACACACACACTCCCCAGCACACTCACACACACTCCCCCACACACACTCCCCCAGCACACACACACTCCCCCAGTGCCCACACACACACCCCCCCAACACACACACTCACTCCCCCAGCACACTCACACTCCCCCAGTGCCCACACACTTCCCCCAGCACACTCACACTCCCCCAGTGCCCACACACTCCCCCAGCACACTCACACTCCCCCAGCACACACACACACTCCCCCAACACACACCCACACACTCCCCCATCACACTCACACTCCCCCAGCACACTCACACACTCCCCCAACACACACCCACACACTCCCCCAGCACATTTATAATATTACCTGAATTTTATACAGCACTTTCCACATCTAGGGAAAGTCTCAAAGCTCTTCACAAGATGTACAATTAACCCTAGATAACTCGACAGTCACTACACTTTACAGTATATTCTGTGAAGCGCTTTGAAACGTCTTGAAGACGTGATGAGGTGCTATATCAAATGCAAGGAGTATTATTATCACTTAAGTCATCAATATCCCGATCACTTCCCACAGTAGACTATTGATAAGGAACTTGTTACATAACATCACATTTGTAGAAATTCCTGTCAGTATTTGGATTTAAAATTGATCCATATAACTCATTGGGACACTTGACTCAGGACATAAGGGAGGGTTGTGTGTTTTGGAGTTCAGGATGAGAGGGGATCATATAGGGATGTGGCGGCATTGCATTGCAAAGGCCTCTGGTCTATTGGAGAGCAGTACCATGAGGAGTGATGGCTGAGAGCGGGCGGGCGGGCTGGAGAATAAGGTGAGGACCAGGAGCTAACGCATTATGTTAAATCATTTCTCACTGGATCATTTTCCCTTGTAGTGGATATTTATCAACTGGATATTTAGTTGCAAAGAAAAAAATGTGCAAGGCTATGAGTTAAGAGCGGGGGAATGGGACGAGTTGGTAGCACTTTCAAAGTCGGGTTGAATGGCCTCCCTCTGCATTGTAGGATTCTATGAAGTGTAGTGACTGAAATTTGTAGACGAGCGAAGCAGTGCAATCTGTACATATTAATGTTCCACAAAGAAATGACCAATTTTATTGGGGGTGCGTCTAATAGCCAGGAAGCCAGGAGAAACTTCCTTCAAACAGTGCTTAAGATCTCTAATGTCCGCATGAACAGGACCTTGTTTAACATCTCGGTTTCACAGGAAGCCAGTTTAAGGTCTGGGGAAAACTGGCTTCCATTTTAACAATGAATTTAAAACTTTTCTGTGGTGTCCTGTAGCTCAGTGGTTAGAGCACTCGCCTTGCTAGCGAGAGACCGGGGTTCCATTCCTGTGCAGGGCAAAATGTTGGGCAAATTTCCTCACTCCATAATCCTCTGTTTATCTAGCAATAAATAGGAACCCAGTCGAGGAATCGCTTTTCCGCGGGTAATAATTCCTTCAAAAAAACATAAGTAATAATAAATTGATCACTCAATCTATGACTGATTGTGGGACGCTGCTGTCCGCAATTGGCTGCCACGATTCATTCACAAAATATACAGTCAATTCACTTTACAGTATATCCTGTGAAGCTCTTTGAGACGTCTCAGACGTGATAAGGCGCTATATCAAAATGAAAGGATTATTATAATATTTCCACACAGCATTCCACCCAAATTGTAAGATAAACTGACTGGGTGTCTGAACCTCTAATCCATTAAAGAAATAGAATGATCGAGTAACAGCAATAAAGTTCACATCTAAAAAGCAAATGATAGAATCGTAGAATCTTACAGTGTAGAAGGAGCCCATTCGGCCCATTGTGCTTATGACGGCTCTTTGAAAGAGCTGCCAACTAGTCCCACTCCCCCGCTCTTACCCCAACTAGTCCCACTCCCCCGCTCTTACCCCAACTAGCCCCACTCCCCCGCTCTTACCCCAACTAGCCCCACTCCCCCCGCTCTTACCCCAACTAGCCCCACTCCCCCGCTCTTACCCCAACTAGTCCCACTCCCCCGCTCTTACCCCAACTAGCCCCACTCCCCCGCTCTTACCCCAACTAGCCCCACTCCCCCGCTCTTACCCCAACTAGCCCCACTCCCCCGCTCTTACCCCAAAGCACTGCACATTGTTCCTTTTCAAGTACTTATCCAATTCCTTTTTAAACTACTATCAAATCTGCTTCCGCTACCCTTTCAGACTGTGGTTTCCAGACCGTAACAACGCTCTGGGTAAAAATATCTCCTCATCTGTCTCCCCTCTGGTTCTATTGCCAATCTTCCTGAAAATTACCATTTCTGAAAGGTTTTGGCTTAGATAAATTCCTGCAACCTTAAAGGGTTAGGTGCTGCAGGATTTGTGGAAAATTCTTAAATTTGGAAGAAAAAGCAACCAGCTTCCAGATTAAAGAATTTTCCACAAAATCTTCAATTTTAAGACATGGTTTTAGGCGTCTGAATGCGCTTGAAGCATAGAGTCCTGTAGCTCAGTTGTTAGAGCTTCGCAAGCGAAAGGACGTGTGTTTGATTCCCAGGCAAGGCGAAATCTTAGGCAAGTTTCTTTACTCCACACACCTGTTTACCTAGCAATAAAAGAACTCGGTTGTTAAGTCAATTGGTGGATTGCTTTTCCGAACTAGTTGGACCTCGGTCTTTTTTCGTCTAGCATTTCTTATGTTCTTATGAATACAGCATTTACAGGGAGGGGCATCATTAGACACTGCTGTGAATCATAATCCTAACAATCGTTGCATTTGATAAAGTGGCTTATCATGTCTGTGAGACGTCTCAAAGCGCTTCACAGCTGGGTTTGTCTCAGCGGGACTGGAATGTGTAGTTACTGCGTATTTTGTGGGTGAAACACAGCAGCCACAAATGTGCACAGCAGTGTCCCACAAACAGCTGTGGGATTGAGTGAACAAATTATTATTTTTATTTGTTTATTTTGGGGGGAATTATTACACCCAGAAAAGTGATCCACCAATCGACTAACAACCGGGTTCCTACTTACTGCTGGTAAACCGACGTGTGGAGTAAGGAAACTTGTCCAAGGTTTCGCCCTGCCCGGGAATCAAACCCAGGTCTCTCGCTTGCGATGCGAGTACTCTAACCACTGAGCTGCAGGACTCTACTAAGAGGCCAGGTGCACTACTGACGGTGCAATCACTGTGTGGAGAAGTTCACATCCCACTCCTTACTTCACAGTGAAGTTAGGACAACATGACAGCCAGGAACACAGTCAGAGGCAGCAAAGCAGTGCGTTTGTCAACGGGAGACTCAGAAATCAGCCCCTTCTGCACGGCGTAGAAACGTGCCACCTCCTTGTTGGGATTCCTGTTGCCCTCGAACCACAGCTGGACACAGCGCTTGCTCCCCCGATCGTATGAGGTGTACTTGTAAGAGTTGCTCCACACTTTCTCGCAAAAGTCAGCTGGACTCGGAAAAACATCTGTGAACTTTCTGCACTCTGTGTTTTCTGGGCATTTATTTATTCCTGGGAAGGAAGGGAGAGAAAAAAAAACACTGAATCGCCATATCAACCTGTCTGCTCCCTCCACTCAGCGGGCTCCCGGCTGCTCCATGTCCTCCTCCTGGCCCAGCCCACCCCATTATTGGCGGTCATAATATAATAATAATAATCCTTGCATTTGATATAGCGCTTTTCACGTCGGGAGAACGTCCCAAAGCTCTTCACAGAACACACTGTAAAGTGAATTGACTGTATATTTGTGGGCGAACGCGGCAGCCAATTGCGCACAGCAATGTCCCACAAACAGTCGTAATTGAAAATGACCAATTTAATTATTGTTTGTGGTTTTGGAGGAATTATTATTAGGCTCTGTGTGGAGTAAGGAAACTTGCCCAAGGTTTCGCCCTCTGCCTGGAAATGAACTCAGGTCTCTCACTTGCAAAGCGAGTGCTCTAACCACTGAGCTACAGGACTCCAGGTCAGGCCTTCTGCCTCCACCTGAAGTCCCTTCACCTCGCCCCCTCCCTTGCCTCCTTCAAGGCACATCTCAAGACCTTCCTCTTCGACTGTGCCTCGGCCACCCTGCTACCCTCCTTGCCCCCCCACCCCTCCTAATCCCAACCCCCAGCTCAAGTCCAAATCCCTGATTCTCCAGCACTTTGGGACGCCCTCCCGATGTTGTGTGAATGTATGTGTTGTTCTTGTTAAATCACAGAGAGTTATAACACAAAGGCATCCGGTTCATCCAATCCCACTCTCAAGAACCAGTCAGCTCAGGCTAAACTTTAGACAAGTTTCCTCACTCCACACACACGCTCCGGTTACCCAGCAGTAAGTAGCAACCTGGTTGTTAGTTGATTGGTGGATCGCTTTCTGGGGGTAATAATCCCTCCCCAAAATATGACACTAATTTAGTCACTCTACCCATGACTGTTAGTGGGACACTGCTGTATGCAAAATATATAGTCAATTCACGTTACAAAATATCATGTGAAGTGCTTTGAGACGTCTCAAAGACGCTGTGTGAAATGCAAGGATTATTATTAAATGTCTCCAAACGCTTTCTGTTTCTGGAAAGTGTAGTGACAATGCATTTATATCCTTGAAGATGAGTTATATTAAAGGGTTGTGAAGTGACCTGGGGAGCCATTGTAAATTTATATAGTTTCTATAGATAAAATATCTTAAAATGTATATTACATGAGTAAGGGAAAAGGCAGGTACCTTGGAGTGGCAGGATTGCTGTCAAGCAGTCTGTGGAACAGACACAGTGGGCTGAATGACCACCTTCTGTGCTATAAATTTAATAATAATAATAATCCTTTCATTTGATACAGTGTCTTATCACGTCGTCGAGACATTTCAAAGCGCTTCACAGGATAAGTGAAGTGTAGTGACTATGTATTTTGTGGGCAGCCAATTGCACACAGCAGTGTTCCACAAACAGTCGTGGATTGAGTGACCAAATTATTCTCATTAGAATCATAGAATCATACAGCACAAAAAGAGGCCATTCGGCCCATCGAGTCTGTGCAGCTCTTTGAATAGAGCAATGTAATGTCAGTCCCACTCCCCGGCCCTTTCCCCATAACCTGCAAACCCGTCCTCCTCAAATACCCGTCCACCGCGTTTTTAAAAGTTGTTATTGAATCGGCCTCGACCGCACTTTCAGGCGATGCATTCCAGATTCCAACAACTCGCTGCGTGAAGAAATATCTTCTCCCCTCCCCTCGGCTTCTTTCAGATTTTATTTTGAATCTGTGACCTCGAGTCACCGACACACCCACCAGTGGAAACAGTTTTTCCCTTTCTAACCTATCAAATCCCCTCATGATTTTGGAGAACTCTATCAGGTCCTCGTAACCTTCTCTGCTCCAATGAGAATAATCCCGGCCTCTCCAGCCTTTCCTCATCATCACGGTCCCTCATTCCTGGTACCATCCTCGTAAATCTCCTCTGCACCCTTTCCAATGCCTTAACATCCTTCCTAAAGTGTGGTGCCCTGAACTGGGCGCAGTATTTATATAGGTTAACCATAACCTCCTTTCTCTCTGACCGTGCCTTCAGCTCCCCTCTCGACTCTCTACCCCCTCCTCGCTCCCTTCCTTCCCTCCCCTCACCCTGACCATTTCCCCCCAATGCTCGGGTCCTGACCCAACTGTACAGCGCTTTGGGACATCCTCCCGACGTGAAAGGCGCTCTATAAATGGAACCTTGTTGTTGTACTCTATGCCCCTATTTATAAAGCCTCGTATCCCATATGCCCTTTTTACAGCTTTATCTACCTGTCCTGACACCTTCAAGGATTCATTTACCTGCACCCCCAGGTCTCTCTGTTCCTTCACCCCCCTTAAGATTGTATTACCGCAGCCTACATTGCCCCCCCCCTCATTCTTTCTTCCAAAATGCAATACCTCGCATTTCTCCACATTGAAATTCATCTGCCATGTGTCGCCCATTTTACCATTCTGTCTATGTCTTCCTGCAGTTGGCTGCTATCCTTCTCACTGTTTGCCCCCTCCCTAAGTTTGTGTCGTCCTCAAACTTGGAGATGGTACTTGCTATACCCAAATCCAGATCATTTATGTATAGTAAGAAGAGCAGTGATCCCAATACCGATCCCTGGGGGACACCACTGTACACTTCCCTCCAGTCAGAAATGCAGCCGTTCACCACAACTCTCTGCTTTCTGTCTCCCAGCCAGTTTGGGATCCGCTGCCACTGTCCCTTTTATACCATGGGCTTCTATCTTTCTTACAAGTCTTTCATGTGGCACTTTGTCAAATGCCTTTTGAAAGTCCATATAAACTACATCTACTGCTCTACCTTCATCCACCCTCTCCGTTACCTCATCGAAAAATTCTATTAGATTTGTTAGACAAGATTTGCCTTTAACAACTCCGTGCGGCTGTCCCTAATTAACCCATATTCATCTAAGTGAAGATTTATTCTGTCCCGGATTATAGTCTCAGGAGTTTCCCCACTACTGATGTTAGGCTGACTGGCCTGTAGTTCCCAGGTGTGTCCTTCTGTCCCTTTTTGTACCGGGGAGTAACATTGGCCACTCTCCAGTTCTCTGGCACCTTCCCGGTGTCCAACGAAGATTGAAAAACTGTAGCCAAAGCCTCTGCTATTTGTACCCGTCCCTCCCATAGTAACCTCGGCTGCATCCCGTCCGGACCGGGCGACTTATCACCTTCAGCACAGTCAGCCTTTTCAGTACTTCCTCTCTTGTTTATACTTATCCTATCCATTTCCTCTACCCTCTCCTCCGATACTGCGGCATTTGGTGCATCCACTTCCTTTGTGAAGACAGATGCAAACTTCACAATAAGATTTCCCCCTTGGTCCTTAATTGGCCCCACCCTACCTTTGACTAACCTTTTTTTCTTGATATGTTTGTAAACTATTTTAGAATTCCCTTTAATGTTACCCGCTAACCTTTTCTCGTATAATCTTTTTGTCCCTCTCATTTCTTTTTTCAAACCTCTTCTGCACTTCCTATAATCTATTTGGTGTCTTCTATCTTGGGTTTGATATTCGTCATACGCCTCCTTTTTCTGCTTCATTCTCGATACAATTACCTTCGTCATCCAGGGAGGTTTGGAAGCCCTACTTTTCCCTTTTGCGGGAATCTATTTATTCTGTCCCCGAGCGATCCCATCCTTGAAGACTTCCTACTGCTCTTTAGCTGTTTACCTGCCAATCTTTCTTTCCAGTCCACCTTGGCTCGGTCCCTTTGTCACTCACTGAAAGTTGCCCTCTTCCAGTTGAGTATCTTCACCTTAGATGTTTCCTTGTCTCTTTCCATATTCACTCTGAATCTAATGATATTGTGATCACTATTGCCCGATGCTCTCCCACTGAAACCTGCTCCATTTGCCCTACTTCATTCCCCAGAACTGGATCCAGCACTGCTTCCTTCCTCGTTGGTCTGGAAATGTACTGATCAAGAAAGTTGTCCTGTATGCATTTTAGGAATCTTTCCCCCTCCTTGCCCTTTGCACTGTTGTTTTGCCAGTCTATGTTGGGATAATTAAAGTCCCCCATTATCACGACTCTATTGGCCTTTGCATCTGTCTGAGGAACCAGAGGATTTTTTTTTAAAAAAAGGGATTATTACCCCCAGAAAACCAATCAACTAACAGTCCTGTTTACTGCTAGGTAAACAGCAGCATGTGTGTGGAGTAAGGAAACTTGCCCAATGTTTCACCCTGCCCGGGAATCGAATGAATACAATTAAATGGTATAATACACGGTCTGAAAGCGGATCAGTTATTAGGTTATAAACACAGAAGTCGCTGGGAACACACAGCAGCTCAGGCAGCATCTATAGAGAGAGGAAAATGAATTAATTTCTGGTCGATGACCTTTCGTCAGAACTGGGGGTTGTTGGAAGGCAGCAGATTATAAGGACAAGCAGAGAAAGGAGCGGGGAAAGAAAAAGGAAACATTTTTAGATGGAGGACAGAAGATGAGATCAGAGGTGTTGATGGTGCAAGACAAAAGGTAATAGTCGGGGATTATGGAATGAACAGATGTGTCTGAGAACCAGAGGATGTGCTAATGGTTGTAGAAGCGGGGGAGTGGGAGTGGAAAGAGACAAGGCTGAGAGCAGATGGGAGCTGTAGTTAGAGTTGAAACCCATGTTGAGGCCAGAGGGCTGGAGGTGCCCAGGAGATGGATAAAGTGCTGTTCTTCAAGCTTGCGTTGAGCTACGTTTGTACAGGATAGGAAGCCATGGACAGAGAGGTGAGAGTGGGAAGGACAATTAATGTGGGAAGTGACCGAAAGCTCAGAGTTGCACTTGAGAGTTGCCTTCAGCTCCCCTCTCGACTCTCTTCCTCCTCCTCGCTCCCTCCCTTCCCTCCCCTCACCCTGACCATTTCCCCCCTCCTCTCTCCCTCCCTTCCCTCCCCTCACCCTGACCATTTCCCCCCTGCTCGGGTCATGACTCAACTGTGCAGCGCCTTGGGACGTCCTCCTGACGTGAAAGGCGCTCTATAAATGGAATCTTGTTGTTGTTGTTGTTGTTGAGGTCGGCAAAGCTATCACCCAAACTTCGTTTAGTCTCCCCAACTGGAAGGTTGCAAATGTTAATTCCCTGTACAAAAAGGGGCAGAAGGATAAACCTGAGAACTACAGAACAATCAGCCTAACATCAGCAGTAGGGAAACTTCTGGAGACTATAATCTGTGACAATATAGATTCTCACTTAGAGAAATATGGTTTAAAAAAGGACAGATGTGGATTTGTTAAAGGCAGATCGTGTCTGACGAACCGAATAGAATTTTTTGTTGAAGTGACTGAGAGAGTGGATGAAGGTAGTGCAGTAGACATAGTGTTCTGTGAAGCGCTTTGGGACGTCCTCCCGACGTGAAAAGCGCTATATCAAATGCAAGGATTATTATTATTATTTATCTAGATTTTCAAAAGGCATTTGACAAAGTGCCACATAAGAGATTTGATAGGTTGAACCGGGAAAAATTGTTTCCACTGGCCTGTGGGTCAGTAACCCGAGGACACGGATTTAAGTAGTTGTTAAAAGAAACCGAGGGGAGGTTACGAAAAATGTTTTCACCAGCGAGGTGTTGGGATCTGGAATGCATTCCCTGAGTGGGGAGTGAAAAGCCAATTCAATAACAACTTTTAAGAGGGAAGTGGATGGTTATTTGGGGAGGACAGGATTGCAGGGCTATGGGGAAAGAGCAGGGGAGTGGGATTGAGTTGGAAGCTCTTTTCGGAGCCGGCACAGACACGATGGGCCGAATGGTCTCTTTCTGTGCTGTATGATTCTATTTAGAGGAGACCACATCGTGAGCAGCAAATACAGTTCACTGGGTTGGTGGAAATCCATTGAAATGGCTGTCTGTCACCAACCCAGTGAACTGTATTTGCTACTCACGCTGTGGTCAAAACCCAGAAGCAGTGTTTGGGGCCCTGGACGGTGGGGTGCGAGGAGGTGAACGAGCAGGTGTTGCATCTCCTGCGCTGGCATCGGAAGGTGCCGGTGGGAGGAGAGCTGGTGTTAGTAATGATAGAGGAGTGGGCCAGGGAGTCACGGAAGGATCAGTCCCTTTGGAATGCTGAGAGGGGAGGGAGAAACGATGTGTTTGGTGGTGGGATTATGCTGGAGGTGACAGAAAATGGCGGAGGATTATCCGTTGAACCTGGAGGCTGGTGGAGTGGTAGGTAATTACTCGGGGAATCTTCTCATCGTTCTGGGGGGGAAGGGAAGGGAAGAGTCGGAGATGGACCATGTGAAGGTAAAGGAGGGATGGAAGTTTTCCAGCTCAGGGCGAGAGCAGGAAACCGCACCAACACAGTCGTCAATATAGTTATTGGGTTATTAGTTATCAGTGAGCAGGTTGTTGATGCTGACCTGACGACCAGTCCCAGCCTTTGTGCCAGTTCTCTTTGCACGTAAAGTCCTCCTTACAATCAGTCCACCACTCCTCACAGTCTGTCTTACAGATCGGCACATCCAGAATCCGCTCTTTCCTCCAGGACTCATCAGCCTGCGTCACATCAGAAACAAAGCCAAGCCAAAGGCTATTACAACAAAACATTACATTTACATGGCACCTTTCATGTGGGGCGGATTTCCCAAGGTGCTGGACAGTCAGGGATTCAGACCCAAACTGGGGTTGGGATCAGGAGGGGTGGAGGGCAGGGAGTTTGGGGGTAGGAGGGTGACCAAAGGCGCAGTGGAAGAGGAGGTCTTGAGATAGGCCTTGAAGGAGACAAGGGAGGGAGCGAGGCGAAGGGACTGTGGGATGGATTTCCAGAAGGTGGGACAGAGAGGCTGAAGGCCCAACCTTCGATGGGTGGGACAGGGTGGGTGGGGATGAACATGTCGGGAAATCAATCTCAGGTCCCTCGCTTGCGAGGCGAGTGCTCTAACCACTTGAGCTGTCTCTTACCCCATAGCCCTGAAAATCTTTCCTTTTCAAGTTACCTACACAATTCCCTTTTAAAAACTACTGTCAAATCTACTTCATGTGATGGGAGGCGGGTCTACTTCGTGTGATGGGAGACGGGAGGGAGGGAGGGAGGGAGGGAGGGAGGCACATAATCCCTTGAAAAATAAATAATTTGATTACTCAATCCATAACTGTTTGTGGGACACTGCTGTGTGCAATTGGCTGCCGGATTTCACCCACAAAACACACAGTCACGACACTTTACAGTATATTCTGTAAAGCGCTTTGAGACGTCTCGAAGACGTGATAAGACGCTGGGTCAAATGCAAGGATTATTATCATTATTATGATGTCGTCCGAACTCTAACACATGGACAAACCCAGACACTGCGTACCTTCTGCACCCACGGGCCCAGGTGTGGGGAGCACTCATACAGGCAGGTGTCCTGGATGAAATGGCGCTTGCACTGCTCGGTCAGAATGCCACAGTGGTCCCAGTTGAAGCCGTAGAGGTAGGATTGGTCAAGGTGGGCTTCCTCGCTGGTGTTGGAGGTACAGCAGGCATTGCTCTTCCACGGTGCACACTGAGTAACAATAAACCAAGCTTCTCTTACTACACACAATCACTTACAGTAATAACAATACTTGCATTTGATACAGCATCTGATCACATCTTCGAGACGTATCCACAGAATAGACTGTAAAGTGCAGTGACTGTGTATTTTGTGCTACAAACAGCCATGGTAATAATACCTTCAAAATATTTTTTAAAAAATTACAAAATTGGTCACTTCAATCCATGGCTGTTTGTGGGACGCTGCTGTGTGCAATTGGCTGCCGCGTTTCTCCCACAAAATATAGTCAATTCACTTCAGTGTACTCTGTGAAGTAATTTGAGATCTCTCAAAGACCGGATAAGGCGCTGTATCAAACGGAAGGATTATTACATAAGAATTTGTTGGCAAAAGAAGACTAAGTTCCATCTAATTCACCTTCCACCAGGAATCCTGGCAGTCGCTTAACATGTTATGTTCCAAATTATATGCTGTATCCCCAGATATTATTTTTTAGCAGAAATCCATCTCATTTGTTCTTGAAACAAACAACATTTTCTGCTTCCACCCTCTCCCTCGGGAGCCTGTTCTATAAGTTTACTGCTCGATCACTGAAGTAGTGTCTCTGCAGATTTGCTCTGAATTTACCCCTTTCAATCGCAGGCCGTGTCCTCTGGTTCTACTGTTCAGTACTAGATAAAACAGCTTATCCTGGTCTACATGATCGGGTCCCTTCAGAATCTTAAAGACCCCAATCATATCACCCTCAACCTTCTCTTCTCCAGTGTGGACATGCCCAGTTTATCTAATCGCTCCTCGTAGTCCAGTTCCTCCATCCCCTCAATCATTTTGGTTGCCCTCCTCTGTATCCTCTCAATCACTGCAATATCCTGTTTTATATTGCAATGACCAGAACTGCACACAGTATTATTCCAAGTGCGATCACTCCAGTGATGTATGAAGTGGTAGTAGATCCAGACACTAATAACAGTCATTTGGGAAATTTGTCCCTAAGAATGATTTTCCTAAATTGCATGATCTTGGTCTTCGGTATGTGAGCAGATTCGGATCAACCTACAATTTGAACAGTCCTTCCACCGTGAACTTCATAAAATATGAATACAGTTCTAAACTAACCTAACCTTAATAATCTTTTTCTCGTGTGCGTGCTCAAACTGAACCCAAACATTGAAGATATCATCAACAAAAAACAAGTTCAGAATCCTCATTAAGTAACTTGTTTGATATTGTGAATTTCTTAATAAATGCATGTTTCTTTTAGAAACACAGAAACAAGAGTTAGGCCATTCAGCCCCTCCTGCCTGTTCCAACATTGTATAAGATCATGGCTGATCTGATTTTCAACTCCAAATAACCGCCTTTCCCCCATATCCCCTGATAACCTGATCTAACAAACAGCTATTCACAACAGAAGTGACTGGGAAGACTCATCAGGTCAGGCAGCATCTATGGAGAAAGGAAAGTGAGTCAACGTTTCGGTTCCAAGACCCTTCGTCAGGAAGGAGGGAGAGGCTTTTAAGGGCTAACAGAGAGGGGGGAGACAGGGCAAGGAAGACAAAGGAGAAAATGGGGTAGAGGACAAGGTATGATGGGTTAAAGGGGTGTTAATAATGCAAAACAAAGGGGGGTAAAAATTGCAACAAAACCCTGTTTGTTGGCTCTGGTAACTACAGCCTGACCTGCCGGTACAATGCCCCCTCGGAGCTCGGCCTGGCCTTGTGATGTTTTCCATCCATACAGGAATTCAGCACCTCCTCCTCGTCCACCGCCATCACCACCACGCTCAGTGTCAACCCCAAAATCAACAGCCTCAACATCTCTCTAGAAAAAAAAACACTTTGCGTTTGACATTGTGCCTTTCAATATATGCCGAGAGATCTCAGGGTCAACAGATAATTCACACAGCAGCGATCCAATCATGGATTGAGTGACAACATTAGTATTATTATTTTTTGTTTAGAGAGTGTAAGTGAGTGTAACTGTACTCCAGGAAAGGGGGAGAATTGTTTGCAGCTGCTAGAAACCCTGTGATCAGGGTCTGAACAATTCCCTTAGTTCTGAAAGCTGCAGGAGTTTTAGTATCTCTTTAACAATAATAAGAAATAATAATAATCCTTGCATTTGATATAGCGCTTTTCACCTCTTCTCAATGTCTCAAAGCGCTTCACAGAATATACTGTAAAGTGAATTGAACGTATATTTGTGGGCGAAACACGGAGCAGCGTCCCACAAACAGTCGTGGATTGAAAATGACCGACTTATCATTGTTTTGTTTTGGTGGGATTATTATCAGGTGTGTGGAATAAGGAAACTTGCCCAAGGTTTTGCCCTGCCTGGAATTGGCACCAGGTGTCTCGCTTGCAAGGCAAGTGCTCTTACCACTGAGCTACAGGACTCCGTTTGGATATCACGTTTGGAGACTGTCTCCAAAGGCCTTAGAGACAAAACACTTCACATCAGCTGAGTGTTATCTGGAACCGCATTTACAGTACAGGGGACCAGTCTAAACAAAGCTCTCACAGATACCTGCTCCCACTCAATATTGCAATGGAGCCTTGAGTTTGATTGAAAATTCTTATGTGCAGCTCTGATAGACATTGGCAATGACACACCACAAACAAGCAAATAAATCCTTTTCCCTCTACACTGTGTGTCCACACTCCCAGGTCAGGGTTAGAGACAGTAAAGCTCCTCTACACTGTGTGTCCACACCCCCAGGTCAGGGTTAGAGACAGTAAAGCTCCTCTACACTGTGTGTCCACACCCCCAGGTCAGGGTTAGAGACAGTAAAGCTCCTCTACACTGTGTGTCCACACCCCCAGGTCAGGGTTAGAGACAGTAAAGCTCCTCTACACTGTGTGTCCACACCCCCAGGTCAGGGTTAGAGACAGTAAAGCTCCTCTACACTGTGTGTCCACACCCCCAGGTCAGGGTTAGAGACAGTAAAGCTCCTCTACACTGTGTGTCCACACCCCCAGGTCAGGGTTAGAGACAGTAAAGCTCCTCTACACTGTGTGTCCACACCCCCAGGTCAGGGTTAGAGACAGTAAAGCTCCTCTACACTGTGTGTCCACACCCCCAGGTCAGGGTTAGAGACAGTAAAGCTCCTCTACACTGTGTGTCCACACCCCCAGGTCAGGGTTAGAGACAGTAAAGCTCCTCTACACTGTGTGTCCACACCCCCAGGTCAGGGTTAGAGACAGTAAAGCTCCTCTACACTGTGTGTCCACACCCCCAGGTCAGGGTTAGAGACAGTAAAGCTCCTCTACACTGTGTGTCCACACCCCCAGGTCAGGGTTAGAGACAGTAAAGCTCCTCTACACTGTGTGTCCACACCCCCAGGTCAGGGTTAGAGACAGTAAAGCTCCTCTACACTGTGTGTCCACACCCCCAGGTCAGGGTTAGAGACAGTAAAGTAAGTGAGTACCTGGTTGCGTGACCGGCTGTTGGGAAGACTCGAGCCACTGCCTGTGGGAAACTGCCAACTCCTGGAAATAAGTTACTTTGAGACTGAGGAAGATTGATGAACACAATCCCCTCCCAGTCACCTTGGCTCAGCGCAGAACCTCCCCCTCCCACAGCCCCTCCCCCTCCCACAGGCCCAAAGTACAGATTCATAAGTGATTTGAAGTCAATCATTAAATCCTCTGATTTTTATGACAAACACTCGTGGTTTCGTAAGGAAATTTAAGAACTTTGCTCTACAGTAATTCTGCCATTGGGGGAAGGGCTTCCTCCCACTCAGCTCCGTGAACCCTGACTGGAGAGACAGTGTTCGGGGTTGACAATCAGTGTAGAAGTTTACCAGTGTTGAACTCCAGCGGTTATTCCTAATAATAATCCTCACATTTGACCCGGCGCCTTATCACATCTTCAAGACGTCTCAAAGCGCTTCACACAATATACTGTAAAGTCAATTGACTGGAGACTATAATCTGTGACAATATAGATTCTCGCTTAGAGAAATATGGTTTAATGAAGGACAGTTAACACGGATTTGTTAAAGGCAGATCGTGTCTGACGAACCTAATAGAATTTTTTGATTTTAAAATCTAGATTTTCAAAAGGCATTTGACACATAAGAGACTTAGAAACAAAATAGAAGCCCACGGTATTAAAGGGTCTGTGGCAACAACATGGATCCAGAACTGTCTGGGAGACAGAAAGCAGAGTGGTAGTAAACAGTTGCTTTTCTGACTGGAGGGAGGGGTGTAGTGGTGTCCCTCAGGGGTCAGTATTGGGACCACTGCTCTTTCTGATCTATATTAATGATCTGGACCTGAATATAGAGAGCACAATATCCAAATCTGCAGACGATACTAAGCCAGGAAAAGTAGTCAATGGTGAGGAGGATAGCACCAGACTCCAAGAGGACTTAAACCGATTGGTAAAATGGGCAGAAAGGTGGCAGATGAGATTTAATGTGGAGAAATGCAAAGTGTTGCATTTTGTGAGGAAGAATGAGGAGAGGCAGTATAAGCTGATGGTACAATCTTAAAGAGGGCAAATAACAGAGAGACCTGGGGTTCATGTAAGCAAACCTCTGTATGTGGCAGGACAGGTAAATAAAGCTGTTATAAAAGCATCCGGGGCACTAGGGTTTATAAATAGGGGCATAGAATTCAAAAGTCAGGAGATCATGTTGAATATTTGTAAATTGCTGGTTAGGCCTCAGTTGGAGACTGCGTTCAGTTCTGGGTACCGCACTTTAGGGCATTGGAGAGGGTGTGAAGGAGGTTTACCCGGATGGTACCAGGAATGAAGAACATAAGAACATAAGAATTAGGAGCAGGAGTCGGCCTTTCAGCCCCTTGAGCCTGTGCCCCGCCATTCAATAAGATCATGGCTGATCTTCAGACCTAACTCTAATTATCTGCCCTATCCCCATATCCCCTAATGCCTCTGCTTTTTAAAAAATCTATCAGTCTCAGCCTTGAAGATGTTCAAGGACTGAGCATCTACAGCCTTCTGGGGGAATAACTTCACACTTCCCCACATTAAACTCCATCTGCCACCTACTCGCCCACTCCCCTCTCCTATCTATATCCCATTGCAATCTTTCTGCATCATCCTCAGAGCTCACTCTCCCACCGAGTTTAGTGTCATCCGTGGATTTAGATACGTTACATTCAATGTCCTCGTCTGGATCATTGATGTACATTGTAAATAGCTGAGGCCCAAACACTGATCCTTGTGGTACTCACTAGTCACCTCCTGCCAATTCGAGAATGATACGTTTATCCCTACCCTCTGTTTTCTACCCGTTGGCCACTCTTCAATCCATGTTAATATGTTCCCATTAATCCCGTGGGCCTTAACCTTGTGCAATAGCCTTTTGTGTGGCACTTTGTCAAATATCTTTTTAAAATCTAAATATACTACATTTACTGGTTCCCCCCTCTCTAACCTGCAGATACATCTTCAAAAAACTCTAAAAGATTAGTTAAGCACTTAAGCATGAAACCGAGGGAAGGTTAGGAAAAATGTTTTCACCAGCGAGGTGTTGGGATCTGGAATGCATTCCCTGAGTGGGGAGTGAAAAGCCAATTCAATAACAACTTTTAAGAGGGAAGTGGATGGGTATTTGGGGAGGACAGGATTGCAGGGCTATGGGGAGAGAGCAGGGGAGTGGGATTGAGTTGGAAGCTCTTTTCGGAGCCGGCACAGACACGATGGGCCGAATGGCCTCTTTCTGTGCTGTATCCCATCACACAGAGGATACAGTTCAAAATCCTCACCTTCAAAGCCCTCCATGGCCTCGCTCCCCTCTAGCTTTGTGACTTTCTAATCCCCTACCAACTTGTCTGCTCCCTCTGCTCAGCAGGATCTGGTCTGCTTCATGTCCCCCACCCCACCCAACCCACCATTGGCAGGTGGGCCTTCTGCCATTCCGCCCCCACCTCTGGAACTCCGTCCCATTTCGCCCCCGCCCTTGCCTCCTTAAAGACCCGTCTCAAGACCCTCCTGTTCAACCGTGCCTTTGGTCACCCTCCTTCCCCTCTGGCCTCTACCCTCCCCGATCCCAACTGCCAGCTCAGGTCCAAAACACTGACTGTTGTTGTTGTTGTGTGTGTCTGTATCTATATCTGTGTGTGTTTGTGGGTCTGTCTGTGTATGTCTCACTCTGTTTGTGAGTGTCTATGTCTGTCTGACTGTATATGTCTCACTCTGTGTGTATCTGTCTGTGTGTGTGTTTCACTCTCTACCTCCCTGTACCTATGTCTCTGTGTGGGTGTGTGTGTCTCACTCTGTACCTCTCTTGTGCGTGTATCTGTCTCTATACTTGTGTGTGTATGTATCAGTCTCTGTACCTATGTCTGTATGTGCATGTGTGTCTGAACTTATGTGCGTGTATCTGTCTCTCTGTACCTGTGTGTTTGTGTGTCTGTCTCGGTAACTGCGTGTGTATATGTCTCTGTATCTCTTTACCTGCATCTGTTTATACCTGTGTCTCTGTCTGTGTTTGTATCTCTGTCTGTACCTGTATCTCTGTCTATATCTGTGTCTTAACCAGTGCCTGTGTCTCTGGCTGTGTCTGTACCAATGTCTGTGTCTCTGTCTGTACCAGTGTCTGTATCTCTGTTTGTACCAGTGTGTGTCTGTCTGTGTCTGTACCAGTGTCTGTGTCTGTACCTGTGCCTGTGTCTCTGTCTGTACCAGCGTCTGTGTCTGTCTGTATCAGTGTCTGTCTGTGTCTGTACCAATGTCTGTGTCTCTGTCTGTACCTGTGTCTGTACCAGTGTCTGTGTCTCTGTCAGTACCAGTGTCTGTGTCTGTACCAGTGTCTGTGTCTCTGTGTGTGTCTGTACCAGTGTCTGTGT